GAGTCAAATCAAGCTTACAGAATAGCTCAAGGCAAGAAGGGCTATCTGTCAATAAAATTGTCGAGTTCGATTCCAATCAGCTCAATGACACCTCAATCACACTACTGTCCGACTGCAATCAAGGTTTTCAAAGTCAAGAAGAACACCTGGGTTAACCGTGCTTTAGTGACAAAAAAAAATCGCTTTCCGACAGCATAGCTTAAGTCGAGAAAAGCTATCTGTCAACGAATACCTTTCGAGTTCGATGTCATTCAGCTCAAAGGTCTATCAACCACATGGTGGAGTCAAAGAACTACCTTCCATTCGAATTTTTTTAAACCAAGGTCTTTAAACCGAGAAGAAGACCGAAGTTGACTACAATTTGACGACGAGAAGCCATATTCTGATTCAAATTCTGAACTACGGCTTCAATTCTATATTATTTCAAGATGGACTCGACTTCGCAAAGGATGAGCCATCCGGAACTCAAATTCGACAGGGAGTTATTCTTAAACTCCACCGAACGAAAATTTGTGTCTTTTTATCTTTGTCCTATTTTTCGTTCCACGAAAAAGGACAAAGAGGGGCAGCTGTAGACACCCATTTTCGTCTCATTTTTTTTTATTTTTTTTATTTTACTTTTAAATATTTTTTTAACTTAACCTGTTATTATTGTTTTTTTTATTATTTCTTTCTTTCATTATTATTATTATTTTTTTATATTTTTTATTTATTAGCATCTTGTTTTCGCTTTTTATCTAACATATTTTGTTTCAGTCGTGATTTCAGCCGATCAAATGGTAAGTAATTCGGATCGAATAATTTTAATTTTAATTTAAATTCTAATTTTCGCAATTAAAGACAACCGATAAATTAATTGGTACCGAAAGGGCGGTTCAAGGTGCTAATCCTTCCTTGACCGTAATCGACTCCCGAACCCGACATGTTTTGGTACAACGCAGATCAGGTAAGATGGTGTCCGATCCACCTAAATTCGTTTTAAAGTGGTCGGTGGCGACTCCCAATTCGTTTAATCCAAGTCGAAGTCCAATTTCGGGGCCCAACCGAAAGACGGTTCCGACAATAAAAATAATAATATAAAATACGTAAGTGTATTATCGTTTTCATTTGAGTATCAAAATATTTTTTTAATCCAAATAGATACCTAAAATTGTCATTTTCATCAAAACAAGTACATAAAATATATTTTTAATCAAAATAGGTATCTAAAATTATCTTTTACCTAAAATATTAAAATAACCAAACAACAATAAAAGATAAAAAGATAAAAATGATAGAGAAATGGCTGGAGAAAGCCACCACCACTGCCCTTAAACAAAAGACTTGTGATAAGTGCCAAATGCAACAGAGGGTGTCCTTTGAGAAAACCAAAAGTTAAAACATTGACATCTTTGATTACCAATCGATTAGGATTGTATTAAAAGAATAATTTTAATGTTAAGTAACTATAAAATAAATATTAAATGGTGAAATTTTAGTATACATTGAAGGGGTTAAAAACTAAAATGTAATCACATATAATAACTTTTTTTATTAATAACTAAAAAGAGGTTGAAGCATTATTTTCGAGTTTTTATTTTTTTAAATTCCATTATTAATCATTAAATTTAGGTGAGGTCATTTTGATCAGTGAATTATAAAAAATTAATTATATCATTGAACATTTTAAACTGGCTTGTCATTGAATTGCTAATTTGTTTTAATATTATTAGACATATTATTTATTTCTATTTTATGTGAAATCTCTAACTTTACTATGATTATTGTCCTCACTTGCCTGTCGCCACCATTAATAGTCATTTGTGATAAAATTAGTATCAATATGTTCATATATTTTCTTTTTCTTCTATTTTTTCTCCTCAATTTATTTTTTATGCAATTCATTTGAAATCGACGAAAATCTTTCTAAAGGGTCGACCCTCTAATGTTCTAATCTCTTCTGATAGTCGTCCAATGAGACTATTTTCGATGTATGTTATTTGTATTCTCAAAAATATATTTCTCACCATTTGAATTTTTGAATAAACATCAAAAACCCTTCAAATTTGATAATATCTACAAACCTCCAAAAAAAATAATAAATTTTTATGTTTAATTTGTGGGTTTTAAGAAGATATTGAGAAAATCTAAATTAATAGGGTAATAGTAAATGATAAGGCGAGTTCGTTTATATCTAAGACGATCACACAAAGTACTAGAGAATGACTATTTTTGACGTTGACTGAAAATAGAAAAAACTAACTTTTAGTGAAAACTATAATGAGATAAAAAAAAAGGGAAAAATTATACATCTACATAAAAATGAACAAATTTTTTTTCATGTTAACAAAAAATATAATGTCATTCAATTGTTAATGATTTAATTATATAATAAAATAATAATACTCTTAACTTTTACCTATGTAACTTGTATGAGCCGATTCAAACATAAAAGGGACAGGTTTCAATTATAAGTATAGAATTGACCCTACAAAAAAGTGTATGTCTCAGAAAACATCATGTTCATTGAAAAACAGTTCAATCCTCGACAATTTAGTTCAGAAATATAGTACTAAAAAGACAATTACGTGCGGAAGAATTTAGTTCAGAAATTGGTCTTATTTTGTACAACAAGTCCTCGAGCTGATGCAGGAGCAGTGAAGATAACGAGACTGGAAAGCAAGACAAGCAAAAATATAAGAAAAGCCTTCATTCTTTTTGGAGAGCCAACAGGTTTTAACTGTTCCTTTGTTGGGCAAAAACACGTACACATGGCTCCCGTTTTACAGCAAAGCTTCAACCCCATGGTGGTGCTAGTATTGAAGTTTTGGTATATCATCTTATTTTGTTACATCTTGAAGTATTCAACACGTAATCTCAAGATACCGTACGGTTGTTGTCATATTTACTTGATTATAAAGTTATTTAAAGCTCAGCCAACATTGTTTATTGACTTTTACTTCAATATCAACTTCTTTAATAATTTTAAAAAGTATTTGATGCACGCTGTATCTTATCTATTTCAATTTTAAATCCTAAATCTCAAATATGACACGTAATTTTTGTTTTGTTCTCGGGCTTTATATTTCTTGACACGCAAGAAAGAAATGGGTGATCGGGGATTGATTTGATTGCGTGGAGCTTAATCTTTCATGCTGTGTTCAAAGTCAATTGAATTGTGAACAACTAAATGATAATAAGAATTAGGTTAAATGTCAAGTTTAATACATTAACTATTATTTTTTTCTATTTTAATTATTTAACTATTGTAATTTTTAAAATTATTATTTTTGATTTCATTTTGGTTATTCACCGAAAAAAAATTAAAACATAATATTTACTTACGATGATAATGATCATTGATTTTCTAACTATAGATGATCAAAACATAACATTAGATATACTTTTAAAATAAAGAATAATTAAAAAACCAAAATAGAATAAAAATAATAATTAAGGTAGTAAACATGCAATTTACACATAAAAATATGAGTTGTGGGAATTTGGAGAAACAAGAATCCGGATTAAATGCGAAATCGCATAAAAAAGGGGCACTGGAAAGACATTTTATTTTAATTCTCTCAAATAAATAACATGCCTAGAGAGAAACCAAATGTCAACTTATATTTTCTTTTAAAAGTTGAAGACAGTCGTGAATGTAAAGAATATGATCATCAAAACCTTTAAAAACCCTCTACTGTACCATCAAATCCAACTAAATTTTCAGTCAAAAATGTGCAACCGATACTCTGCTGTTTCTCTTCATCTCATATAACAACTACGCTAACATCAAACGATTTCAATAACAATTACAACAGCTTTTGAAGAATACCTCGTATTCGGAATCCTAAATATATAGAATTCTATATATTGCAGGAGCGGCAGTTGATTCATACGATCGCCACTCATAAATGATTAATCCTCCTCCATAGGTACCTCCGGAATATCAAACCTGTCTTCCTCGATAGTTTTATTGATCACATGAACGGACGACGGTAATACCTAGTCAAGGAAAGAAAATAAAAGGTACCAGACTACACAAACAAACTGATAAGAGAAATACAATGTAATATATCACCCATCTTCCACACAGCTATAACCTTGCATCACGCTCTGTATTGAACGATGCTGAATATTATATTGAAATGCACCCATATGACACTTCAACCCATGCAGGTGTAAATAAAATATCATACAGATATAGGCAACTTCATTGAACCAAAAGACAAAGGTATCGGCTATACCATCCAATTTTCAACTGTACAGTTAATTGTTGCTTTAAGATTAATGCATGTTAATTCCTATTCTTCTTCCCTTCAGAAACAGTACAAGATATATTCTATACCTGTGTACTAGTTAATTGTGACATCTTTTAAAAGCCTCAGATCAAATAAATACTGATTATAAAAAAGCACTATTACCACAATTAATGAACAATATTTATAAGCGAATTCTTATATTCAGAGTAAAAAAACCATGCACTTGAAAAAAAAAAAGGATATCTAATACCATAGGATCATCCAACTCGCCTCGATTGCGGCTGTTATCTAGCTCCCGCATAATTTCAGGAGTAACCTATATCAAGAAGACGATAAGTATCACTGACTGTTGAAAATGGAAAAGACGGGAGGTTACATGTAGCTATTAACAGTACCCATGTGAATGAGTGCGTCCATTGAGAGAGAGTGTGAGAAAAAAATACAAAGATATCTTACTAATTTATGTTTTTGTGTCTCAAGTAGAATTCTGAGGTTATCTTTATCTTCCTTGCGCAGTTCATTTTTGTACCTGCAAGTATTTACATAAAAACGTTGCATACCAGGTGTTATAAGCTTGTGAAACACTAAAGATAACTTCTAAATCATGAAATATCCCCTCACAGTTTTAGGCTAAATTCATCAGATCAAACCACAGAGAAGGAAATATGCATCACCTGCACATCCCAATTTATTTTTTCCCACATTTACTAAGTTAAAATCAGATATCTTTAGCTACAAATATAACCTAAAAGGGAACAGAAAATGTGGACGAGCAACAATCATATCATCAATCAAAAGAAAAGGACGACTGAAATGATATCTCGACCTTCGATTTTCACTGTATCTCAATGATCCTCATTGATGAAAAGACACAATAATAAAATGTCTCTTCGCTTTCTTAAAGAAAGAGGTCCCCTAAAAGAAACGTCTAAAAGATCGTTTAATGGAAAAAGGAAGATCAAGAAATTTTAAGTGTGAAAAATGGAACTACTATTGAACAAATATGACAATAATACCAGAGCCACTAACAAGCAGTGTCATTATAGCTTTGAAGAGGAAAGGGGGACAGTGTCTCTCCATTACTAGCAATATTTTCTCTCATCCATTTCCTTTCATTATTTTCTCAGTCGGAGAAGCGAAATTAAGAATAATTCAATTGATGCTGGGCATAAATATTTTCCTTAGAAAAAAATTGTGATCTTATCTCAAACTCATAAACAAAATTTGATCAATAAAAACGAACTCTGAAGTGATGTGCTCAAGAGGAAAATGTTTATCTCCAACAAGTTCACTGACCTTTGCACAAAAGCCAGAAGTGATTGATGCCATATTACAGGCATTATCCTTGTATCTTCAAGAAATCTCATAAAATGAGCAATAACAGCATCAACAACACGATATGGCAGAGCGTATTTCTTCTCCAAAAGTAGCTTGATAAAATAACTGCAACAATTTACAGAATAACATTACGAAGTTTGTAAGAAAAAGCGCTAAAAAAAGAATTCTTCCTTCTGTTATAAAAAGAAAGAGAAGGACATATCAACAAGAGATCCAGATTCTTAAACATGTTAAGAGGTTCCTTCTACTGCTGTCTACTTTTTTTGATTCAACAAGAGCATAAAAGCATGTGACTGTTTGTATATGCAAGAGAGAGATAGTTAGAGAGGGGCACAAGAAAGAAGAAATATCAACAAAATTATAATACCTTGTTGTGCCACAGTATTCCATTTCTGCAAGCTTCATTAATGCAACACTGCATTTCCATTTAAAAATTAGAAGTCTTCATAATCATCATACCTTAAACAATTAAAATGAAAATCCAGCGCCCTTGAGAGTGAAAATGGAATAAACCCACCACATCCAGAACATCAATTTCATGATCATCTTGACCCAACCAGGAATATGTATATATGTTTTACAAAATGTTCCTAATTGAATAAAATCATAATCCATTAGGCATGAATCGCTCTAAGTACAATTTCATAATTCTATTTTTATTCTTTTTGGTTTGTTCAAAAGAAAAGGATATTTTGTTTTTTAAAAATGGTATATTTTAAAATAAATGTGAATATATTAACAAATTTTGATAGAAAAGAATCTGAAATTCATATCAACCAGTTAATTTTTTATTGAATTTTTATTTATCGATCAAAGGCCTCATTCTTTTTTAGTTCAAGCCAAACATGAAATACCATACAAGCAATTAACTTGCTTTTAAAGATTCATAAATCCAGCCAACCTCGAATCCTTCATCACATTTCTTCTAATGAAGAGAACAAATATTTACAGTGATAAGTGCTAATTTTAAATGATTCCTACAGCAAAGGATATTATTTCAGTTTCAACAAAGAGCTACAGGGCGTCCACAAATTTTACCAAAGCCAGCAGGAAGATCCTCACTGGAAAATTCCCATTCAGTCACCACCTCATATTGTGTTTCTTATTTAGGCATAAATAAATTTTCTTTCAATGCAACATCCTGCAACTACAGTAAAACTATATTAATAAGTTTGACATAACTAAACCATGAGTAATATACCTTGAATGAAGCATAGGAATGGAGACTTTTTCAAGAACACTTCCAACGATAACTGCTTCCCTGAGATTGCATGTCCCCGACTGAAAAAGAGAATGGAGAAAAAAAGGAAAAGTTTAATGTTAAAATAACTGAAAACAGCCTACCATACAATCCAATTATAATTCTCGAACACACAGCCAAAAGTTCAAATTTTTTGTTATCCTTTTGCAAACAAAAAAGAGAGAGAAATCATGAAAAATCATGAAGCTGCAATATCAATCTGAAAGAGAAAAATTGAGGCAACAAAAAAAAAAGGAAAATTGGAATGCATAATGAAGATAAGGATTACTTGATTTGATCAGGTAGAAAAGTAAAAATAGAAGCCAAAGATGCATTTTGGTAGGCAAGAAGTTGTATACCTTAAACAATGGAAACAATATTCCCTTGTTAAATGCAGCAGGTTTGTATAGAGCCTTCTTCAACGACTGATATAGAGCAAAATGAAGTCGCTTATTCTTCTTAATATCATCTCTAACGCGAGGAAGCAAGACTAGCCTATAAAAACGCTCTGCCTTCTTAGCACCCAAATTGGAAGCAAAAATTCTTGTGGCTTGAAACATCGCATTTGGAGACCAATTCTCTGGCTGAGTCAAGTACAAAACATCCTCCCAGAGTTGCATTGAAGGAATGTGTTTAAAGGCTTTGGGCATTTTCCCTGCTGTGTATTTGTTCAGAAACTTGCCAACTCTGCACATTTAGTTCATATCCACATTTTAAGGGTTCTGCACTTTCTTTTATAGATAAGAAATAATCTTACAAACAAAGGGGAGGAATATTACCCCTTATACAAATCTATGAGAGAGTCATCCAACTTAGGCACAGGACGTGTTTCTGCAATTTAACAAACTGAACCATCAGACCTCATATTTTTCATGTAGGCAAAATTCTTTCACAATATATTAAACAACCGACTATAATCCATTTAAAAAGTTACCTGAAGCAACTTTTGCATCATTCTCCTTGATCTTTTGAATTATAACGTCTCCAAGTGTTTTCTGTGGACCAACATCCTTTGATAAGAATGCCTCAAGCAATTTCTCATCATCCTCATCAATTTGCTCCTATGGCATAAAATAAAAGTAGAGTGTTTTAATTAACAAGAATAATTGCAATAGTCTGCAAACAGCAAGCAAAAAATACTAAGAGATTCCATTTGTTTGTTACTTCTGAGACTTGCTTTGCGCTATTTGCTTACATATCTCAAAATTTCTAAAAGGCAAAAATCATATTTGGCATTGTAACAAAACACCACATTTTCTACATAAAAATTAAATCTTTAATTGTTCATATTTGGAATCAAAAGGAAGCAGTAACAGAAAATGAAGCCTGAGGATCAAAAGAGCATTCAAGTAAAGAAAATTAGTCCGGAAATTAATGTTGAAAAGTTTAATTAAATAAAATGTAGTTACATCATAGTTGCCAAATTGACTTTGTGTCTCAGAAAATCCACCGAAATCGTCAATATCCTCTTCTTCTTGATGTTTGTTATGATCTTCTTCAATCGAACCAAACGCGGTCCCAGTGTTCCTTCCTGACGCTTCATCTTCTATTTCCTTCTGTTGAAGCATCGCTTCTTTCAAGATTTTCGAGCTCATCCCCGACGAAATCATCTGCACACACACGTAGATTTTTAAAAAAAAAATCAATAAATTAGTAACAAAATACTGGGAAAAAATTGAAGGCGGGAAGAATTTTACTTTGTCTTGTTTCTGGTGGTGTTAGGAGCTTTGGAGTGTTTCTTTGTGGAGGCGACGGAATCTTCATCAGCCAAAAATGGATGTGGATTTTGGTTCCGCTCTCTTTTGTTCTTCGCCATTGACAGAGCTTCGAGAGAGAAGAAATATATGAAAATTGGACGTTTTAAAAGAGATCGAAAGGGATGAGGCGGCTGTGGCAAAGTAACGAAACGAGGTTTAAGAACCAAACCAGGGTTTTAAATACTCCGACCACAAAATATAAACAAGTTTTCCCACGTGCGATGCGACAGTACAAAGTTTATTTCTCAACTCGCATCCATTGGGTCTTGTTTCAAGGCCCAAAATCAATTACTATAAACCATCTTGTTGGTATAAAACAATATATAGTCCCTGAACTTGTCAACATTTTCAACTTATTCCCTAAACTCTTTTTGTCCCTATCCATAGTTGAATTCGGTAAATTTTCCCAATTTAGTCCTTGAAACTTGTATTATCCACATTATTCCTGGAACTTAAAAACTTGTATTGTCCCAATAAAAATTCAAATTAAATACTAACGTGGACAAATAAAATTTAGGAACTAAGTTGGAAAATTTGTCAAGTTTATGGGCTAAATGTTACTTTATCAATTCTTGGAAGGTTCCAAATTGTAGAAACTTGCCTAACGAACTGGCCTGCCCATCTCCTTGCTTTGTTATTAAGCACCTACATTTTCTTTTTGCCCCTCTACATATAAATTTCTTCATTTACTTGCATAAAATTAAAATGGTAATTACTATTAAAAAACTAAAATGGTTAATAATTTTTCTAAGATTCTTATCAATATGGCGTAAATGAGACCAGACAGGTCGTGAGCTATTTAAGATCGACTCGACCAAATCTCGATAGATATTCGACTCAAATGGACTATACTCGAGTTCCTAACTAGTCAAAAAGAGCTATTTGATACTCGACTCGAAAAATTCATGAGCAACTTGAAAATATAATATATTAAAATTTTATTTTTTTTAAAATAAATTATTAACAATATCAACATTTATGTGTTATTTTAAAAAAAATACATAATAAGATTTTTCATGTATTTAAAGTTTAAGTTCAAGTTTGAGTTTAATGCTTCATTTGAGTTTTTTTTTAAGCTTTTAAGCTTTTTTATTTTTAACTTTTTCGAACTTTTAGAAACTTAAATTCATGATTTCGAATTCGAGTCGAACTAAAAGTTTTATACTCACGAGTTTTCGAGTCGAATCAAACTCAACAATAATTGAACTCAACTCGATTCGTTTGGAGAACTACTTATCAATGTCGAGAAAAGGCTTAGATTTGAGAATTCTTAGCGAGTAACTTTTATTATTTCAATTCATCGATTATTCTTTTAAGGCAAGGAATTCTAAGCGAGCAACTTTTATTAATCCAATTCATTAATTTATCAGTTTTAATATTTTTTTTAGTGTCAAAATTATATCTTAAAATATAATATGGTGCCTTAAAAATTTGTTATTAATAATAAGTGCATAACGTTTTCAACATTATGCTTTTAGGTGTTTGAATCAAAACAATCGTTAAATTTAATTGTTATTTGACATATGTCATGCATATAACATTTTAAAAATTATTTTATTTCAAA